CTCTATCACACATACCATTCCCCAAAATTGCCATCTCACTTACTGAAACTTCCGTTATTTAAAAGCAATCTTATTTGCATTTCTTTTTCACATTTCGCTTCTTGGGCTTTGGTTGGAAAAGAGTTGCCATTAATCTTGGCCACCAAAGAACCCAGAGGTTATGTTAAAGAAAAGACGCGTGAGCCCGTCACAACAGTGGAGTTAACTTTGTCTCGAGGGCTGAAAATATAAACTATTTTCAAATAGATATAATTATTTGAAAAAATGAAATTAAATACTTCGAATCTTTTACAGATTATTTATTAAGAAATGAGGCTTCAAAAAAGTGTAAAATGTTTAAAATATAATAATAATTTTAAAACTTATAAGCATAAGAAAATAAGAAACATTTCTGTAAAAAATATTAGTTATAAGTTATACTAATATTTTTTACTAATATTTAATAATTTCCTAAGTGCATGATATTTTCTAAAATAGTAGCTCTAATTACTAGCAATGAGGTGATTTATAAAGTCAAATATATCCTTATTACACTGTAGCTATTTTTATATAAATAGAAAAAAAAGTTACATTATTTTAAAAATAAAAAAAAAAAATTATATTTTTATTTTTTTTTTAAATTTTAATATTTTCCAAATATTTTGAAGTACAAAAGATATATAATACTAAAATTAGGTGGAGTGCGAAAAGTATGATATTTTATAATTCCATAAAGTTTTATACATCAAAGGCTACTATTTTAGAAAATATGCGCAACGTAAAAATTATTCAATATTTATTACTGAAATGTTTCTTATTTTCATATTCTCGTATAATTTTTAAAATTATTATTACATTTCTAACATTTTGTACTTTTTTGAAACCTCGTTTCTTTATAAATAATGTGTAAAAGATTCGAATTATATATTTAATTTTAATTTCAAAGAATTACATCTATTGTGAAAATTGTTCATTTATTTCCAGCCCTCGAGACAAAATAAACACCCCTGATATCCTTTAGGAATTTTTTAAGACAGTTGTGAGTCTGTCACGTTTATCTCAAAAACTGTTTCCTTGTAATTTTATTTTATTTTTGGCATATTTTGAAAGCAAAGAGATTTTCCTCACGCATTTTTTTTTTTTTTTTCATAATGCAATGGACACAATGTAAATTATTTACTGAGGTCA